AAATGACAAGGCTCCTAGCAGTACTCACAGAGAAAGGGGCAACAATATTCTAATGTAAGTCAATGGAAGCCAGGGTCAGAAGGAGCAGGAAGAGCCGCATTCGAACTTCCTATTTGGAACGCGTGTTAGCTATGTCCATTTATATATGCAGTCTATGCTTGGAATGCAGTGACTAGCAAGTTAGCTATGTCCATTTATGCAGTCTATTTCAGTTTGAGAGAAGAACTCAGCCTAAACATGCAGGGTTTGTGTGTTAAACGTATGAAAGAAACAAAACAGATATGTTACTGATGAGGAACCAACATTGTAACAGATCAGAAAACTGTTTAATATGAGATGTTTAAATGTGACTTCAAACTAAATCTTTGATTGAAAATTTTTATTTGATTCATATTCATTTCAATGGAGTTTTAGCAATCATGTCATAAAGTAGGTATGTAAAATGTTCATTGTTCACGTGCAGCAACAAGCCAACATTGCGCCGATTCTCTGGAGGGCTTTAAAACGACTTTATCATCCATACTGAACTTATTTGCTGTTAGGATCGTCAGCCCCATACAAAATAATACTACCCGAATGATAACGGCAGCACCCACAGCAACTTCCAGAATAAGGTGAATATGCTATATGGTTTTCATTGCATCCACACCATTCCTGCATGGAAACACACTTGTTTCTATAATTTCAATTCCATAGCAGGAGAAGTAAGGTATTTTAGGAGCTGAAAAAACTGGAAGACAATCAAAAAGAATTCCCCTTATGCGGCGCTTCAGTCTGTCAATCACCAAATGCTTAGGAGAGTAAAAACAACTTCATCCTTCTCTGTGAATGATGCTCCTTTCATCTCTCAGACATAGGCAGGTTTAAATCAAGACCGGACGGTACAGCCATATGCTGCATAGAACCCATTCTCTTTTCAAAAACATCAGTGATGTACGATGTGGTGAAATGAATTGTGCCGCAGAATGTAAAAGGCAGCACTTAAGGGAACACTAGTTTGAGAAAAGCATCAAGTCAGTTCCTGTGGGTGCTGAGGGGAACACAATTTGGACTTCTTTGTTGTCCCCAGTATTATGGTGTGGGTCCCAATCCATATACGGTCAATTCATTGCAATAGAAGCTACACAGATCTATGAGGGCTTTGAGAATTTTAAAGTTGTTATAAAGGAAGCCAGAGATCTCAGTAAAAACATTGAGAAGCAGATGGAAAATTCTAATTTAACTGTACAAAGAACTGGATTTAGTGGATTATAATTGTGCCCTGAAAGGAATGCAGCTTTGCTGTAGGTATTTCAATTATTGTTATTTCAAATTTATAAAACATTACACAGAACCCTGTGTTTTGCCTTAAACACAAGATTTTCCACATCAGCTTATTGTACTGTTTAGTAAACTGGTCTTTAGTGTGACATAAATGGTTTGGCTTTACTGAACAAATAAGTTCCTATTTTGGAAATCCTTACAACAGTGGACTTTTCTTTTTATTACTGTTCAATATGAATTATGGTTTGAAGATTAGTAAAGCTTACCAAAAGAAGAAAACGCCAGAAAAGTCAACTGGAATGCAAACATTCAAACAAAGTATGTGTTGAGAATGGATTGCTGGATTAGCAATGCTGGATTCAATTTATGTTTTTTGTAGCACTATTAACTTCTAATATAAATGCTTCAGAAGACTCAACATGCTTGTTTCCGACCCAGGAGCTAAAAAGTACCATGTACTTGGTCAGTTACTGTTAATGCCAACCTGCAGCTTGGGAGCTCTCCGCCCCCTACCGAATAGCTATCCGCTACCGATAATAGTTCTAGTTCTTTTAGTTTATTGACAACTGAAGCCCATCTAAGGCTTGCTGTGGCTCTAACATTTACACGATTTCTTGAGCCCCCGATCTTACTTACATTTACCACATAAGATATGAAAAGTCGCACAAGATAGTATCTGTAATTAGTAGTTGTTGCAGTTTTAGCTTTTTGGAGATAGTTTGGATAAAACAGCCACTAGTAATGTTTTCTTTGTCTTTGATGCTAGTGTATTGTATGTCACACATACAGAACTGTAAAACAAACAGCTTAAAACAGGCTATTTAAACACTAGCACCACCGGTTGAATGTTGCTACTAACACAGTAAATGCAACTAAAAATAAGGGCACAGAGCTGTCCCTTTGACAGCACTTGAGAGGCGCCTCCTAAACAAACATAAACCTTTATTTTGATGAGTCCTGACAGCAAAAGAACTACCAAGTCAACACCTGCTTTCACTTTACCAGCTGACCACAAACACACACCTATACTTTGGTACAGGTTTTAACTACGATTGGGTCAGCCATAAAATATATAAACCTGCCCTTCTAATTACTGGCAATGATAAAACGGAAACAGCCCTGGAATGTTCTTTTTATCTCTGATGAGCTTGTATCACACTATCACATAAGTTAAATAAGTAATAAATCTCTTCTTTTAGTGAGAACTCTGGTGTACTAGTCTATGTACTAGTCTGTGAACCATCTCTCCTGAAGGTAAATGCATACCACTGTGCCAGCCCTGCCATGCCACAAGTACAAATCTGTCGATGAAAGCCAGGGACCAATATTCTGACAGACCCAAGGAGATCCAGACATATTTCACACCATTTTTATAACATAATTAAAGCATGTAGACAACTCAAATTCCTATTTGTATTGAGCCTGTGCCATTTGAACAAGCTAGGTATTGTTAGGAATCTAAACCTAAACACAGAATCTGAAACCTGCAGTTGACACTTTTAATATTCAATCATTTTAGTGAGTGAGAAAGTTCTGGACATGGCTCAAGCTCAATATATTTTTCTTTTAATCCTCGTCGATAGGTTTGTTCCTTTTCGATCTCTGGTGGCAAATGCATTTTCCCATACTCCTGTGTCTTCATAAAGCGAGAGGATCCGAGGTGTGGGCAGAAGTAAGGGCCGCCTAAGTCTCCTCTCTCTCCACGGAGGTCTTGTTACGTGGGGGTCTCCTTGTCCCCTGTCTGGTCCCAGGTGTTGGCGCGATGCCGGGCCGCGGGGTTCCTCTCAGCTGATGATAGCATAGCCTCCAGTCAGATCTGGGCCAGAGCCAAGCTGTAAGAGGGTCCAGATGCTTCAGCCGACCCCTGGCCTGCTCGTATGCACTCTCCTGTTTAACACTCACTACTACTACCTTTACATGCAGGTTGACTTTTTTAATAAACTGCTCACATTGGTGCTTGTTCATAGCAGCACTCATCATTTTATACAAGCAGAGATGTGTATTCTTAGCCATTTTGGTCCTGGCTACCTTGTTTTCTCTTGCCGGTTGTAAAGATATGGAGAAACTTGAGATATATTGGGCTCATGGCTTTCAAGGGGCACATTTAAATGAAATATTTTTCTGTGTGTGTGTATTTGTGCTGACTTTTCTCAGTTCTTTTAAGTGAAATATTCTAGCTGTGTTAGTAATTAACATTAGTACTTTCACATTAACAAAGACAACATTTAAATCCAGGTTCAAAAGGGTCATGTTTAGCTGTGCATATGAAGTTTTTATTCTGCACTCTTTTCTTTTCATGTAAATTTATTAAGGATTATTTATGTTTTATTTGTTTGTATTGTGATTTGAATGTCTTTCTTATTCTGTAAAGCACTTTGAATTACTTGTGTATAAATTGTGTTACACAAATACAACTGCCTTGCCTTAACATCTTCCATTTATTCAAACTCGTACCAGTTAAAAGTATTTTCTGCACAATGAAAATATTAACTTCTGGACTGCTGCGCCTGAAGCATGTTCTTTAAACGTTGTGGAGGGCTTCTTGCTTTGAGCTGGGGAAACGGAGATCTAATTAGGAGGGTGCTGTAGCCAATCAGTTTGTTGTGCAATGGAGTGGTTCAAATGTGCGTGCGTGTGAGCGGGATAATTAGCACAGGAGACACAGTGAAAATGGTAAACAAGTTTAAAACATGGAGTGCACCTTCACGGGGCTTTCTCTGTGGAGGAAGGATGATTGCTGTGTTGGTTTTACTTATGTTGTAAAAAGTAAAGATATCTTGTGCTAAAAAAGCTCAGAATTCAACCTGTTATTTCAGGCTTTAACAGAAAACTGGAGTCATAAAAGTGAAATTGAAACATGACATGCAATGAGAAAACGTCGAATAATGTATGGCTATTTTGAGGCGTAGCCTAAATATAGGTCACAGATGACACACGTCTAGAAAATGAGGCAGAAATGCAGTGTTTAAAACAGTCAATTACTCATTCGCAGTCGGTGTCTTGTACTTTTAATTATCTGGCAGCATGCTCGTCCAATATTCTGTTGTGGTCATATAAAATGAAGGTAGTTCCACCCAAAATAATGAAGGGCTCCAGTCAATAAGCACCAAAGGCTAAGTGCTGGATCCAGCTTGAAAGGAAAAGTGCAGCGCCTGATGAACACGAGCAATGGGGCAAATAACACCTTGGGAACACTTTCATGGAGCAATTTTGACTTGTCAGGCCTGCTATTAGTAGCCATTAAGACTGTTATTTTTCAGTCTGCTTGCACAGGATAGCACTCTGTCAGTGGAATAAAAATAGTCAACAGCCTTGTCATTTTGATTTGCCTTCTGTAAATGAATGTGTCTAGTAAGGTTGGCGAGGTGGGAAAATAGTTTTTAAATTACTTGAGTTGTTAATATTGTAAGATACACGGGTTTTGTAAGTTTGAGCCACTGTGTGAGAAATGTCTGCTGTACTATAGCCATGGAGACCAAGCTAGACACAGTTCAGTATGGACACTTTGCAAGTGATGTGATGTAAACTAGAGGCACTGGCCACTGTCTGAAGCTGTTATTCAACTTTAATCTGAGCTTTAGTTCAGACTGTGTTCTGTTAAAGAGCTGAATTATTGAACATTCTGGCATGGAAACAAATGCAGAACACCCCCAGTGTGATAAAAGTGCACAGTATCAATATGTTGAGAAATATAAGCAATGGTTTGATGTGCATGGTGTACAGAACATGTAACTTACGTTTGATGCAACGATTGGTTCCTGGAGCCACAGCCCAGCCCGAGCAGCACTGCTGACCTCCACACACATTAGGCCTGAACAGATGGGATACATGCAACATGTTACGGTGTATTAAAGCACACACAACAGCACCCTGCAGCACTAATATAAAAGGCTTCTCCTGCATTGAAGTCAAATGCTTCCAGGGATAGAACTGCTTTGGTTGTTTTCAAATCACTAAGAATTAGCTGTCCTAAAGATATGATCTCTCTGGAAAATACACTATAATTGTCCTTTATGTAAAACAAAATTCCAGAGTCACTGATGTAACATATTTAATTGAGCACCCACATGGAAGTTCATGCCTGCCCAAAAAAGTTTGTACCATTTAAAACAATTTCTACCTAAACTATTCCTCCCATCCTAAACTGTCTTGTAACCTCTAACATGTTTATAATGTAGACAGGACAATGCTAAAACATCTTTGCTTCAGCCATAACTTTAAATTAGGCAAGATTGTCTTCACACAGCACCGGTGTCTGATTTGTTGGGTGTTGATCAAGTCGCATTAAGATGTCATACATTTGTTCTCCCTCCCTGAAATCCTAGACTTATTTAGTGGAGAATAGCCCAGTACAAGGTTGGAATGGGCCAGTGTTATAAGAATTAGGTGAGACATATCCAATATAAAGAGCTGTATCTTTTATGAATGACTGCACAAATGAAATATGACAAGTCCTGAACTGTTATAACTGGAATGAAATACTCTCTAATCTGCACTCGGAGCGTGAGCCAATCCTGCAGTGCGAGAGATAGACGAGAAGGCAGCAGACCGCAAGAGCAACTCGGGGGCAACAGTCAGCCGCGAGTTGGCATGGATCTGTGTCGCGTCATCTTTCACATTAAATTACAGTAAGTAGGTGTCAGACTTGCTGTGATTGGAGGAGATAACAAGCTTCAACCTTTGACCCCGGACCCCTTGTGCTCATTACAGTGTATGAGTGCTACAGAGGAATTGCAGACTCGACTTCATGACTCAGATGCATCAGGCCAGGCGCGTGCCAAGAACATCACTCAACGCGTTGGTTCATGAGACATATGTAAGTCATAAAGGGTTTTATACAGGGTAATTAGCATCATAGCTTCAAACAGATAGGTCCACGTGCTTGCCTTTTGGAATACAGGCCTGCTTATTACATACTGACAGGTGTAGTGCAAACATCAGGAGTAAGTCCATGTAAAGAAAGTGCACTGCTTCAGGCTATACTAAATGAGTAAAGCTAAGAGGGAATTCCAAAAGGAAATGTGTCATGAAGAGCACTTTCTCTAACAAGCAGCAGATGAGGCGTACTGTTTCAAAGTGTTAAAAGCAGACTACTATTTGGTAATGTAAGCGCATATTGATGTAACATGAACAGTTCGCTTCTTCAAATCCTTCAAGCCTATTCATCCAACTTCAGGATATGTTGTTCTTGGCAGTGTCAAGCACGATGTCCGCCCTATGCTGCAATAAAGCATGTTGGATGTGAACTCACAGGCAGCGCTTTTCCTTATGCCCGATAGATCGACAGGGCCTCGGCTCAGTCACGCATCAGTGAGGATATCAGACTGACGAAGGCTTTCAGGAAGGTGGTTCTTTATCCGTGATGGAGAGGGACCATTGGTGATGTATAAAGTGGAGCCCAGACAAGTGAAAACAGTGGAAGACTTTGGTTGTGAGGTGAAGTTAAAAAAGAATATGGAAAGGCAGAGAAATCACTCACTTTTTTGTAGTTTTTTTGTCAGGACAGTACAGAGTTAAAGCGGGTGAAGATCTGCTAAGTTTACTGGAGTGTCCTGTTCATGGAAATTACATTTACTTTAATCAAATTTTTAATCAGTACACAAGTAAATGTTTTGACTACTTAAATTATTTCAGTAATCTAGTCAGAAGGGGAGACTGAAATTTTTGACCAAGTACTAACTCGGGATAAACAGAGAGGGGCATCCATTGTATTTGTGTAGACATTTACTGTATTCAGAAAAGCACAGGATTAACCCCACATAACAGACTTTAATAAAAGAAAACAATTTACAAATACTTTTACCTGAGAACAGATTTTGAGTACTTCTTCACAAGTGTATGTCAAAGGGGCGAGAAAACTGGATGTTGACTAATACTCTTTCATATCTATGGCTCCATTCCCCTGTTGCAAACACAGTGCTGTCTGTTTATATTGGCCAAATAAATGATAATACCCCAACTGCCAGAGTATGACAAACAAAACAGGCAATAAATTGACATTACATTGTCTGCAAAGGTGAGCCGCTCAAATCCCGCCTGATTATTATGTAAACAGTCTCCATCCTGTGATTATCATACTTTGTCCAGTGGAACAAACTGCAGTGGATGCAATGGATTCACAATATGGAAACAAGCTATCATACACTTTGATGGCTCTGTTTTGTTCAAAGATAAAATACAAGAAAATTGCGTTGCTGACAGAGAGGTGGCCATCCTTGCAACAGGTGTTTTTCATCACTAACCACTGGGAAACAGTTCTAGGGGCAAAAGAACCAAAATGGGGCACATACACTGAAGTGGTGTAATTGACTCTTCTTTACCAAGTCATTTAAACAGGAATCATGTGGTACTAAATGGTTGAAAAGGCCTAAACTAATAGAGCTAATAGTATCAGTATTTGTTTTGTTCCACCAATTAGCTGAGATATCCTTACGTCTCCATGTCTTAAGTGGGCTGGTCAGATTCCCACAGATGAAAACTCTTTTTGTACTATTAGACAACTCTTTGTGGGCAGTTGCGTGGTTAGCGAAGTTACATCATCATTGTGGGAGGAAATTCTTGGCTAAACTGGGGTACCACCTTTACCACTTTACAGTAAGCCATACGGTATAATAGGTCACACAAATTCTTTTCAAGTAATAGATCAGGGGACAGCAGGGTTATTATGTGCGGTTAGGATAATACCGAATAGATCATTGGATTGCAGTCAAGTCTTGGATGAAGTCAGGGGAAACAACACATGCTGGAGGGTGTCTTTTCAAACATAAAATTGAAATATGGGGTAAGAATGATTGACAAAGCGCCTCAAAAGTTCAGCCATGTGTTACGAGTTATTAACATGAGATTATTTTGACATGTGACTGCCCCAGAAACTTTCGATTTATACAGTAGCTTAGAATTAGGAAGCCTTTCTAACATAACCAGCCTGGACAGCTTAGTCTATTTTGTTTGGTCTTGCAGGGGTTAATTCATTAGTCCTGGCCTTGGTGCAACATGTTCTGTAACTTGATGTAAGTTTAGATTCACTGTGCCAAATGTTTCATATTTCCAATTACTTACTTAGAGCTTGGGGGAATGAAGATAAAAATCAAATTATGATCAGATTTCTGGTATGATTTTCTTGGTGAAATAGTCATATTATTGTGTTTTGTGTTTAATGCAGGTCTATGCTGTCTGACACTTTGCTCCATCCACTCCTCCTAATGGTCTGCCTCTGTCGTGCCCTGAGTAAGTGACCAATCACAGCGAAGTGTGAACTCGGGTGAAAGTGTGAAAGCTAGATAGTTGTAGTTACCTGGACAGCTACTAAGCATTCATGAATTGTGATAAAACTGTAATCTAGGTTATAGAAAAACATGATCTTTCTTAAGTATTGGCGTATTTCCCACCCTAATACTGTAATTAGAATTTGGTTGCACCATGCTGCCTCACTTTACAGCACCCACGCAATTGCCATGTCATGTCATGTCATTGTTTGCTTGGATTTAACTGGATATTTGTACTGACTAAAAACTTCACCTTGGGCAACATTTGAGTCTAATAGCATTATAATTCTGTGCAAGTTGGCAGAAAAGTTGAGTGGCTGAGCGCGCACAGTTTGTCTTGGCTGTATTTCTTACCCAATGAGTCTCCTCGTGGTGCCAGCGGCGCCCTGCCTGGTGCTCTGCCTGCGGTTCACTCTGGCTCTCTGCTGTGGGGAGACCTGGCTCTGGCTCGGCGCTTGTCTGACGCTCCGAGGTGAAGAGGAGACGTCTGCTGCAGCCTCTTGCCCCGGGGGAAGCGCGCTCTCCTCTCCTGGCCCCCTCGCCGAGTGACCTTGACTCCTTAATTGGTGTTTTTGTTGTTTCTGTTGCACCCGAAGCGACCTTTCTTCTTGTGCGCCATCCCTCCTCTCACCTGTTGAGTCACTGTGGCTATCTCCGCATCTTAAGGTAGCAGCGGCCATTATAATCAAAACAGCAACACCCACGCGTTTCATTTTGAGCTATTTTTTGAAAAAGTACCGCGAAAAAAAGTGAGCGCGTGCAACTCCAAACTAACAAAACACTTAAGAGCTCGCGCACAAAAACAAATCAGCAAATAGTTCTATAAAACGTCATCCTCTCCCGGGAATAAAACATGGATACTTCTTCATAATGTCAAGGTAAGATGTAAAAAAAATACCTCGAAATAACTTTACACGGGAGTCCAAAAATGTTCCACTATCCAGCGCTGAAAAGCAAATAATTCAAGCTAACATTATTCCATGTGTTTTGTTGAACATGAAAAGCTGCGCGTTGGCTCCAGTCAGGACTCCTGCTCAGGCTCCACTTACTACTACAACCTCTATTGCTCCAAGTGAGAGGACTGGAGAGAGTAGCAAGCGTGCTCCCACACCATACATATCACCCACCTCCTTGGATCTGAAGTCACCGGGAATTTTGGAAGGGATTGCACGCTCTGTGTAAGTCAGGAAACTCCCCCTTTGTCGGCTGCGCGTTGTTGCACCCACCACCACCACCAACCAACAACTTGCTCGCCCGCACTCTCTCCCGTCCGTCTGCCAAGTTACATCATGTTACCGTGCGTCTTTTTGACAAGGACTAAAAAGGACGCTAGATTCAAAGCAGCTGCCCTAAGCATTACCATCAATCTAAATGTAAGTTGACAAGTTATTTAAGACTCCACAGTGGTCATAATTGTTACATGCCTATATTGTGTATGGGGTTTGGACCAGCTTGTGAATGCATTACACTCGGGTTGTGTCATTATAAAGCAGAATCATAAATGTAATACATGCAGCTAAAGATGTTTACACAGTATGATTTAGGGCTTTCAGAGCAGATGCATGCAGAGAAGCAAAACAGTAGTGAAAAGGTAGAGGGAAGTTGAATGTGAAACTTTGGAAAAGTTGGTCAGCTTATGTAACACAGTGCATTTGTCTGAGTCCTTAGTCCATGCTGCCTCATCACTTTCCCTATGACTGTCTGGAAACAACACATTTCTCCTTCTCCCCTAAGATCCCTGGCTCCCACTCCTCATTCAAGCCACAGAGATGTACGCCATCTCCCTCCTGAGTGGTCCCCCGGCTGTGTTATTACCACGTTCTGATCCGCCGTCCAAAATACACAGCAGCAGCAGCATGGAGGAAGACGAGAAGGCGGCATGCGAGATAGAGCAGGAGGTAAGGTTTACAAAAGCTGATCACGTAAGTGCTTGCTTCAGTCATCTGTCAGTAAAAGTGGAGCAGCCAGGCACTATAGGAAATGGAATTACAAATTCCATTCAACAAAAAAGTTTGACATAATTCTGAGAACTGAATGAAATTCTTTGCAACAGAAGATTTTGTAAACGAATACACCAGTACATTTCAAAAGTTGGGACAGCAACAACATATAAGCATATAAACAAAACATTCTGATGTTATTTTTTATTATTATAAGCAACTTTTAGCAAAACCAGAAATGCTAGTTAGCATTTGCACTATGTATCCTTTCTTGTAAATGATCTGTCACATTGCTTTGTCTACAGTGTTCCACAGTATCGAGAATAAAATGTGCCACCAACAGGCCAATTTACAGCTCAGATCTTTGGAGTGGTGACCCAGCTCACAATAAGAATGCCTGTTTTTCAAAATATCTTTGAGAAATAAGAACACCTGTAACTGAATAAATGCAAGATACATACATTTAATGCCATACTGTGGAATATTCCAGATAAAGCAATAATCCTCCTTGGTAGTCAACCCTGTATCCGAATTTTATATCGTGCATCTTGAATAAGTCATAAACATTCATGAACACAAAATGGTCATATTAACCCAAATGTCAGCATTACAAAACACAGTGGAGAGAAAAACAAGAGGGCAGTTTGTGAGACATAGCATAAGGGAAGCGTTGCTAAATGTTGATAGGGTTTGCACTAAAGCCATCTATCAGTGTAACAGTTGGGGCCAGCCTGTGCCCCAGAGGAAATGTAATTAGAAAAGGCAGCTTATGACTGTACAGGTTCTCACCCAGCCCTCGTGGCTCTGTGGGTCTGTTTGAAAAGCTCTATTGACCCCAGTCCCCTCCAGTGTGACCGGGCCATGCTCCAGTCATGTTGGACTGACCAGACGAAAGAGAGCAGCTGGTTTTAGCTGCTGCCTGATCCTTTCTCTGCATCATGTTATAACCCAGGCCTTAAAGAGCCCTGTTATGAAAGCAGCTTTAGCCAAGGCAGTGTGGCCCAGTTTGACACAGTTCTGGAGGGACTCTAGAATAAATACCAAAAGGATGTCCCTGGCTTTGACCAATACTTTGACACAAAGAGTTTATTCAGCACTCTGCCATGACACGCAAGCCACTCCTATCATTTTCCAAACCAAACAGGATCATAAGAGCATTGCATTTTTCAGATTCTTATGGAAGTGGAGGTAAGACAAACAAATTTTGTTAATTAGGTGTGTTCAAACTGTGACGTCAAACTTTCTCTGAGATGCAGGGCAAGAGCCAGTATTACACATTGAGTTAGATATTTTTATACACTATTCTACAGTACCTATCTTTAAATAGCCTTGAGGCATTTTAATGTGTTTTAAAGGTCCTTAATTACTTTAAGCATTGTTATAATGCTGTTGCCTCCTCAGAAACGTACTTAGAGTTGTGTTTTGTTTCATTCACACGTTTGAGTAATCGTTTACTATTACTATCTACATCTCCAAAGTTCAAAATGCTCTGTTCCACCTTTTGATGTCATTAAATGGTAGTTTCCAAGTAAACAGTTACCTTTGACCTTTTGTTCAGTAGAGATTGGCAATTCAGGTATGTCATTAGGTTATTTTTTAAGACAAAAAGTTTGGTTTCATAACTGTCAGTTTCAACTGCTCACTAGCGGTCTTCTTCAGGAAGACCAAATGAACCTCAATGGACTGGCAATTCAGGGCTGAAATGATCCAAATGATTCTGATGAAGGTGTATGGAGTTTAAAAACACAGTGGAGCACTTCCTGAGTGTTTTGTGTTTGAGAGAAGAACTCAAACTCAATTTGCAGGATTTGTGTTAATGAAACAAATCACAACTCCATGCATATTTGTGGTGAGGAAACACTATAAACATAGATCAAATAGCATAATATAGGCTCATAAACAAAATACATAAACGAGATAGACTTTTAACAAATGCCAACTAAAATAAAACAAAATTTACTTCTCCGAAAAACACATGCTTCTACTGGGGAATAGCTGTAGACCACCCAACACATTTGCATCTTATTGATGATTAGAGATGACTGAATCTCAGTCTCAACTAAAAGCCTTATGAGCCATTATTGTTCACTGTAGAAAAATCATTGTGATTGTAGACCTCGAATGACCACAACAAAGGATATTGGACAAACAAGCAACAGTGTGTGAGTCCTCCAGATGAGTTTTGTCCAGAACACTTCGTGCAACACAGCCATTTGAACACACTTTCTAACATTCACTTCTAATGAATAATCAAAGGAGGCCACTTCACACTTCTACCTGCCAGTATATCCCGAGAGAGACACATTTGCATCCATATAGCAGCAGGCGGACTGAATGAACGCTTTGGGATGTTGGACGAGTGGAGGGGTCAGGGTTCAAGTGTACCCATTAGAAAGCCAAACAGTATCATTACCCCCAGAATGTAGGCCTTTCAGTATATAGGCAAGCATCAACAGCGTATTCTTACAGGCCCCGCTCTAGAATTTTAAGTGATCCATGTGAATTGGCCTCTGTCATGACTTTCAATGGAGCAAACCAACAAGAAACGTCAATCTCTTCATTAGCTACCTTTTACCGCATCAAAGCATCCAAGTCTATTTCCTCTTGCCCAGTAGCTTGCATAATAGCCTCATTGTATGACCTGGGTAGTGAGCAAAATTTGGCGGAATAAGGTGCGGGGTTATTTGGCAAGTCGAACCCCAAAATTAGTTGGTTTGTAATTGATACATTTTTCAGGAATTGGACATGACAGCATTTCCATGGAACATGTATAACAGGAGACCTCCATCATGTTGAGTGAGAGGTCAGGTAGTACATTAAGCAGAAGAAACAGTGAGAGATAGAGAGGGATAACTGTAAAGTGCTCACAGGCCGACCACTACAGGGTCTTTCCCAGCTTGTACAAATGAGGTGCTGTCGACTGGTAAGAGAAGTAGGTCACCAGGGTGCTACTTAGACCAGCCATCTCCTCTTGGCCTCTTTCAGATACATATGTTTACTTCTGGAAGCATTAGAAAGATTTGTGTTTATTTTTGATAGTGAACATTAACAATATTCTCAAGAAAATGGGCATACAGTATGTCATAGTAATGTTCATAGTGAGTAATGCTTCATAGCTGAGTCATGAACTAATTCATTCATGGGTGTGAGATGTTAGCCATAGCATAAAGTGCCATGCTTGTAAAACAATCCTACAAGGGAAAAATTGCAGTGATTAGATTAAGCACTTCACATTTAGGTCCAATGGAAGAATTCCGTGACTTTGTTGTGGATTGAAGAATGGATTTACGCTTAAGAGTTACAAGCTCCTCGCCAAATGCACCAAATTAGGCTTAATGTCCAAGAATGTGATGGAGAAAGAAATAGACAAAGCTCTTGTTGTCTCTTCTAATAAGCATGATTCAAGCATCTATGATTGCTGTCTGAATACTAAAGAAAATAAATCAGCCATCTTAGCCAACTTCAGGTTAAGTAATAGTAATAGTTTTGGGAAATGTTATTGCTTTGCTTGGAATGATCCACAGTATGGCATTAAATATATCCTGCATAATAGTGTTAAAATATATCTTGAAAAACATGTATTCTTACTGTTAGTAGGCTAGCCTTTCCACAGATCTGACCTGTAATTTGGCCTAGTGGCTGTGCTTACTTGCCTTCATGGAAATAGATCAGTGTAATGTCATACAACATTCCAGGCAGACATCTCCATAAAGACAAGCAGATGGTCGACCTTCCACCACAAAAGTTGCATAGTGTGCTATAGAGTATAAATCTGGTTGTTATCATCTGGGTAACATGCTTAATAAAATCATATTAGTCATCCATTTTTAAAGAAATACTGAACCTTTGTGTATAAAGCATTGAGCAATAACTTAGGAATATCAGATGCAGTTTTAGTTTTCAAATAAAAAAGATGTGATCTATGACATTCTAATTGGCTGCCCTCTGAATACAACAGCCCGCCGTGGCCAATGGCTTAACTTAGGCTAGTCAGAAAACGCTTGTGTCAAAGTTTCCTAGACACTCCATTTTCACTTTATTAGTGTTCCATAGAGCTATTGTCCTTGTGGGTGATTTAGAAGCGTCTCCCATGAACAGTGATGTCACTCTGGGCATGATAAATGTCTCTGGATTGGGCTCACGGTGTGGATGGTGTTAGTTCCAATCACAAT